TTTTTTGCAATGTTTGAAGCTTTTGTTAGATGCATTAGATGGTTGAGGTGTTGCATCAAGGCACCAGGCCGTGCAGATGTGCTGAGCAGCAAGCTGTAGCAAGCAGAGCATAAAGCCAGTGGGAGATTGAGAAATTTCAGCAACCCACATTAAAAATTGGATCAAACAAGATTCAAGAACATTGCATAACAATTCTTTGCAGGAATTTCTAGCAATTGGGAAAGACGCTTATGGAGATTCAAGTGCCTGGTAGCAGTAGAAGTGGGAGCATGGCAGTTCACAGCCAAGACCACATGCTAGTGGCAAGATTGAAACCATAGCAAAAAGCAAAGAGCGTGCAAGCAAGTTCAAGACTAAGAACCAAGTTTTGGGTTGATTGATGAGTTTTTCTTATGATTTTCTCACCAGCTCTCTATGCTCATCATCTTAGACTAACTAGGCATGATTCAGGCTTAGATTAAGACTTGGATCAACCGCTTGATCGTGAATGAGAATGTTAGAGGTAGAGATGATGTGGCATGTGATTATGCCCACGTGGCAGTAAGTATCATCCATATACAGTTGAATATACAGCGAGTTCTTCCTCCTCGTGTGCGTCTCTCCACTGCTAACAAGCAAGACTATAAATCCGCAATCCAATCCCTGATTTCCTTGCTCCCAGATTCATGGAGGAGGTGCCAACCACGAGATCGAGCCCCAGGCATTGGGCAAAACGTACAAGGCCAGGTTCTCGGTGCCTCCTGGATCGAATTCCAGCCTTTATTACTCGTTCGATGTCGGCGGCATCCACTTCCTGATGCTGGGAGGATCGCGTCAACAGGCTCCTGTGGTACAATAGCTACCGCTCCCACTACCGCGACGTCGAGTGCATGCGTCTCGAAATGGAGGAGCTTCTCTACAATGCCGGCGTCCACATTGTCCTCAATGGCCATGTAAATCCCTCTCTCTTCTCGATCTCGACAGGAATCCTCGATGTTCTTCCAGGTCCATCCCTATGAGAGGAAGAACAGAGTTACACTTACGAGCTGGACCCGCGCTCTACATCGTGGTGGGCGATGGCGGCAATATAAAGAGAGTGGACACGGAGCACGCTGACGATCCGGGGAAATGCCCCAAGCCTGAGGACAACGTCCCCCAAGTCGGTGGAGTTTGTGCTCAAAACTTCGGCTCTGGGCCAGCGGCAAATCAATTCTGCTGGGACAGGCAGCCGGAATGGAGCGCCCTGCGGCCCTGCGAGACGGAAGCTTTGGTCACGGCATATTGGAGGTAACCCCGAGAGTTCAACCTCTTGATCGATCTCAGTTTGCGCTTTTCTCTTTAGGTGAAGAACAATACCCATGCCCTGTGGACGTAGTACCGCAACCAAGATGTGTATGGTGATAGTCACCTTGGAGACATTGTGAAATCACCGCAGTGCCGGAACTATCCTGCTTTCCGAGCTGACGAAAGATCGGGTGGAAACAGTGGAAGTCCCTCCAGGATCTTGGGAGCTCTAGCCATTTTGATGGCAACGCTTCTAGAATTTTGAAAGTGCAGAAGTTAATAAACATTAGCATATGAAAAGAATTATCGCGAGTGAATTCCAGTAAAATTGGAGAGGGAAAAGCTAACTGGAAGTCTGGTTTCCAGCCATCCAGTCAAAACTGCCGCTTTGCATGTCGACGTGGCGGTTCTTCAGTGGTTGACATTTTCTCGGCAGCATATATACGATATCAACACAAACGCTGATCATATCATCGGTCTCTCTTTGATAGATTTTCTTTGCAAGAGGAACTCTAGATCATGTCTCACGCACTAAGTTTTTTCTTCTTCGTCCTCTTGGTGGCTGCTACTGTGACCTCTCGGCCAGTGAAGAATGAAACAGGTACGCCTGTTCTTCAATCTCGATTGAATATGCGTCGATTGGCTCTGTGTTTCTTTTGAAACATCATGGTCCATGTCTGCACTCGCTTGCATGTGTGTCTGTCCAAGCGTGTAACCTGATTCGTACGTGATTTAATCTTTTTGTCTTTTACAGTGATGGCTACGATTGCTAATCAGCTGGATTGGTCGCCATTGTCCAATTCCACCCCAAAAATTGCCGAACCAGAGGTAAAATAATCCTGTATTTGAAGACAATATTCTTGACATGTATGATCGTGTGTTGTCAATCATCTTTGGTGATCAGGAGCAGCAAGCCCATGTTGACTACATTTATGATTTTAATCCTTGATGAAACGGCACATTAATAAGGAGGGATCATAGGCTTTAAAATTCTCATAATATACCTTTAATATAAATCGATTTGTCTTTGTAGTATTTTCATTATACAAATTGAAAAAAAGTTGTACAAGTAATATTTTCCAGTCTGTCTTAAAAGCCCCACAACTTCCGTGAGTAAGTTTTATTGATCAGAACAGCGACACATACGTGCCAAACAAGGAGAGATCATGTGGGAGATCACTCAGTTATTCATCTTTCATCATATGGATATAGTTTGATCATCCAAAAGGATCTAGCAGCACTGGAGAACTCCCTCGACGTTCTGGATGCAATCGTCGAGGTTGCGAGTGGAAGAGACGAGAACGCCATCCCCGCGGTTGCAACGGGCAGCCACGTTGAGCCCATTGAAGCTGATGTTGATGCATCGTGAGGCAAAGTTGGATGAGCAGTCGAGGACACCATTGCTGCTGCCCACGCAATTGTTCACATCGATGGAGGCGTTCCTCCTTTCCATATTGGATGTGCTGCAAATGGCTCTCATCACGGTCGAATTCCTGTCGAAGGTGATATCAGTGCAGGATCGAGAAAACTGGCAAGCCTGTAAGAGTAAGATATCCAAATTGTGAGCTTCTTGCGGGACAATCGAATGAGAGTTTCTTACCTGGGTGATGGAGAGGGTCGAGACCAGCATACACAGGAAGAAAACCTCGCGAAATGCCATAATGAGATAGAACAAGAAATAACCAAGAAGAAAATGAGTAAACAACTTTAACTAGAGATGAGTTGAGCTCTGGAAAGGCCTTGTTTATATAGTCCTGGGAGCGACGCTTATCTTGACGACTCAGCAGTACATGGCTCCACATTGCGGCTAGAATACAAAATTTCTACGTCGACTACACTACTATACAAGTAAATATTGAAATCTAGCTCAGTTTATAATTTTTCAACGTTCTAGACGGTGACATTTTTAGGAGTTTGCGTGTTTCTTTTAATTTGCTAAATTATAAATGGAATCGAAACTTAGACACCCTTTTTGGGGCAAGACCGCTGCGAAGAGACTCCAGGAGACATCGATTTCTACGTGCCCATAGAAAGATTACCCAGTGTGTCCACACTGCTGGGCGCGAGGGTGGCAGCACCATGAAAGTCTAGACTAATTCGTAAAATCGAAAAGCACATAAATTCCTCCAAAGATAAAGGATATTTTATCTTCATTTAGAAGATACCAAAACACCACCACGCTTGCTCGGTACGTGGTAGCGTCGTCGTCTACGTTTATCACTCGCCGGTGGATGATCCTCTTTCCTTTGAGCGAAGAGATCGCGATAGAGGGATAGTTGAGATTGCTGCGTCGTCGTGTGGAATAGATGGTTTCAAGTTCGCGAAAGTGGAGACATTTCGTATTTCCTGCCTCAATCCACACAGAAAGTCCGTGAATTCCGGCGCCTTGGCATCGTAGACGAGGCCCGGATGAGCAGCCGCGTTTGGATTGATGTGGTCTCCACCGAAGGTGCCGGAGAGCAATGCTACGTCTTTGATCGGCTCCACATCTGCAAACAATACGCAATATTATGAACTTCCATGTCTTGTCCGCATGTCTCTGAGAAGGCATACCGGAGTCCAGCCGCATTCGGCAATCGTAACCACAGGCGTGCTTTCCAGAAGAAAACAATCGATTCCCTTTTCTTGCTTTGCAGCAGGTTTTGTCACTGATAACTCTCCGACCAAGAAAAGGAAACCGTAATGCGTATTGTCACTCCCATTCCTTGGTGGGAGACAAGGCTTTGAGTTCATGGGAATTTGATGTGGCTCTTCTTGGTGCGTTTTAGTTTCTTTTGATACACGAACTCTTCAGGTCTCATGTCAACCAAGTCTTTCTTCTCTCCATGGCAGCCAGAGATTATTCTCAGGAACCAAAGACGAGCTAAGCACCGGCGTAACCTCTTATATCCCCGGTTTGGGCACATTGACGAGGCGATCAAGGTCCTTCACTCGATTCAGGATCCCAATGTCTTCTCTTGGAAAATCCTGTTACGGGCCTTTTGCGACGACAATTACGTTTCTGGGGAGGGAAAAACCTTTGATTCTCTACAGGACGATGGTGATCACATATACCCGCATTGGGCATATTTTGCGGGCCGCGCGCAACCAGGTGGAATGCCTCTCGTCCACCGCGAGATCTTGCTCAATGGATGCTGTCCCAGGGACAAGTAAAGTTTCTACTCGAGTACGCACTGCCGCTGGTTGGAATTTATCGTTTCGCGGCTCGAGATCTTTCTTTTTGATGAGAAGCTAGTCCCGCTAGACACCAAGACGTTGTCTGAGCTCACGTCGGCAGCCGAAAGCCTTGACATGAAACCACTGGTGGACTTGACCAGTAGACTCTAGCACGGATGATCGAAGGAAAGACTCCGAAAGAGATCCGGACTGCCAGACGATCTAACCGGAGGAAGAAGCAAATGTTATAGATCTCTCACAGGCATGGCAAGAAGCACGTTTTGTGACTACTCGTTAAAGAAGTCTTAATTCCTGCTTGGCAGTGGACAAGGAATGCATTTTGCTGGCGAGCTTCAGGCAGATTGGAGATGTAGACATGGTGGTGTGGATGAAATTGCAGCACAGCACGAGAAGAAGCCAAAGAAATGTTTGATCGTTAAGAAGGATCAAATCCCAGGAATACAATGCTAGATCATGATCACGGGCGTTCTTTCTATAATGTGAAGGAAGGACCACTACAACTGCGACTCAAGTCGGTCCACACGGAAGAGCCGTCTAGCAGGCTATTATAGAGCTACACAGTCGAGAACTTTTAATTTTTCCTGTTAATGTTTTGTACATAGAAAGAATGGAAGGAACAAAAAAGAGAAAAAGTTATTTGAAAGAAAAAAGAGAAAAAGAGGAAAAAAAATTTGGGATCATCCAACGAGCTCGTGTGTCTTTGGCTGACAACAATTCTGTGTTGGACTTGTCGTCGTCGGCGTCGTCGTCCAAAGCCCGTGTTCTTGGTTGCTCGAAGATGCCAAGGCGAGAATCTCTTGCATCCGGTTGGGCCAGTCGGCGTTTAGTCTCCTCGCAAAATCTTCGACTTCCCTGAAGCTCAATCGATCAGGCTCAAGCGAGAAAACGAGAACAAAGTTCTCGAGGGAAGGAAACAGCGATGCTTTTATAATTCTGAAAGCACAGACTGAGGGATGTAAGTTGATATGAACCTGTCAAGCTCCTCCTTCATGGCGGGATCCAAGTCGTCTTCCTCGTCGGGGTAGCCCAGCTCGTCGGCCTCGGGCAAGTGATGGCTGTCCTCACACCTTCCAGAGTTCTCGGCCTATACACGCGCAAATCCATTAAAGTCACACAGGCAACCAAACTTGCGACCTTTACTTCGTCATTCTCCAGGGACGTCGTGCAGCTCCCTTTCGAAGAGGTTTGATCCTTCTTTCTCCTGTTCTTTTTCCTCTTGGCCTTTCCTGATTTCGCTAGCTTATCTGCGAGCGAGTAGCAAATGGCGAGTATGAAACTATGCTAGTAGAAGCGAGTAAACACGCACATACCTCCTTTGTCATCGCCATCGATGAAGGAAACCAAGTCATCCACTGACCGCTCGTCCCTTTTGCATTCTTCGATAGAGCCTTCCTAGAGTCAAGAGAGAAAAGAGAATTGTAGCGCAGGTACGAGGATACTTCTCATACCTTTAAAAGTTTTTTGTCTTGCAACTCTTTTCTCTTCCTTGCATACAGCCGATTGAGCAGCCGTATCCTCATGTCATCCGTGGTGTTTTTCACAGGCTCCAGCTTCTCTTCCTGAATCAAACGAAAACCATTTGAATCAAAGAAAACGAAAAGTGGAATGAAAAAGAAGAAACAAAAGTGCCATGCCTGTGAGAGATCTATAACATTCGCTTCTTACTTCGGTTAGATCGTCTGGCAGCCCAAATGTCTCGCGGATCTCTTTCGGAGTCTTTCCTTCGATCATCCGAGCTAGCGCTCGACTGGTTAAGTCCACCAGCGGTTTCATGTCCAGGCTATCGGCCGCCGACGTGAGCTCACACAACGTCTTGGTGTCTAGCCGGACGAACTTCTCATCGAAAAACTTCCTCTCCTAAAAGAGAAAAGGAAGAGCACGAAGATCACGAAACCATGAATCCCAACCAGCGATGTTACCTTATCGGACCGACCTGGGACCTGATGGAAGCGGCAGTACTCGAGTAGCAACTTAAGCGTGCTGGGATTAACTTGAGCCGGAAGAGCGATTATCACCTTATCCCTGGGGCAGCATCCGTTAAGCAAGACCTCGCGGTGGACGAGAGGGAAGAGCATGGCCGCCTCCCATTCCACCTCGTGCCGCGAGCCATCCACAGTCTCGAGGCAAATCGGCGCCTTGTCATGCAGTGGCGATCCCGGCAGTGGCGCGGGGGAGTGGAGACACTTTGCTGCCATCATCACTGACATCACGATCTAAGCTACAAGATCCCAGGATCACATTGGAGCCCTAGAAGAGAGAGAGGAGAGAGAGGGGGAAGGAAATCACACGAAGAACCCTATACCCCGGCTTTGGCGGCGGCTGGAAGTGGAATCTGGGCACTAGGTGAGACAACCGATACTACTGGCTGATCAAATCGATGGCGCGGGAAGCGAATTTCCAGCGTCCAGCGGCCCAGCTCTTCGTTCGCCACAACACACAGCGCCTCTGCTAGACCTAGAAAAGTGATTTTGTGGGTGGAATTTAAAACATCGGCATATGCTATGAATATTCCATCCTTATGGTCTAGAATTACCACTTTTAGATGTAAAAATTCCGGTGTCTCACCTCCACGGCTCTTTGCCGAGCATCGGCGAGCCGGCATGGAATTCGCTGGTTCTTCCTCGCGTTCTTTCGATTCTTGGTCGGCTTCCTAGTCACCTGTGGAGGCGCCTTTTTGTAAACGCTTACTCTGAGCAGTGGTACGTTTCCTGGCCTGTGAGGCCTGTACATCCAAGGCCGAGCTTGCGGATTGTATGCCACCCGAGCTTTCTGGAAATCACAGGAGCTTGAGAACGAGAAAAACGAAAGGAGAGCTTGACTTACCTTGTTTTGTCCTTGGATTCTCTTCAATTGTTGTAGCAGACGCTCGGTGAGCTCCTCTTTTTCCTTGTCCGGCGATGATGTTGCTAAGGAGGTGAGCTTGAGCTGTGGCTCAAGCTCGACTCGCATCAACGCCAGAGCTTTCTCACTGAATTCTCGAGGATCCAGGTGCTGGACTCCGGCGTTACGAGTGTCGTCACTGAGCTGTGCTTTCAGCCTGGAAACACTCTTCACTAAGTAGCTCTTGGAAACATTGAAGCACTCACCTCAAAATCTCCTCGCCAAGCAAGGCGCTCTTGGGGTCCTGGTTGATACGAGGTGCGTTCCTGATGCTCCTTGCGCGGTTGGCATATCTCAGTGTGCTGACGGTCTCTTCGTAGTTATGCTCCGAAGGGCCGATGTTTGCAACCATCACTGTCTTGGCGTTTCCACCCAGTGAATCTTGCAAAAGCCTCGTCAGCTTTGAGTCTCTATACGGGATATGCGTGCTTTTTCCGTCAGCCAACGCAGATATTACGTTTCCCAAAGCCATGAGAGACCAATTTATGTTGGTCAGCTCTCGGAATCTTTTCCCTTTGGCACCGGCTTTGCTCATTCTTTCACTTCCGGCCAGGTCGACCTGAAATACTGAAGCAAGTTAGAATCGAGAAACAAGAAAAGAAAAAAATACCAGATGAAGTTTTCCAACGCGAACATGAAGGCGTTTCCCTGGATCATTCTCGGCGACGTAACTAGCCTCGACAGTCACAGTAAAGATTGAATGCGAACGAGACGAATCTTGGTTCATCAGAGTCGCTCCAACAGATCTGTTTTTCTTTCCTACCTACAAAAAAAGAAGGAATGCACCTTCAGTGTCAATTACTAGTAGAGAAAAAAACTTACCATTAGTAAATGCAAGATGTCTGATAAGCTGTGCATTCTGCGGCACGTAAGGTTCTTCACAAAAATTCCAACGTCAGCGCTTTCTATCAGCTCCAGCTTTGTGCTGGCGGCAGAAGAGCCTGGTACCAGCAAATCTCTGATCTCTTCATTGTAAATCTCCAGAAATGATGCACGGACGAGAAACCGGGTTGAGCTTTGGTTCCTAGCGATGTAAGAAAAGATATCCTGGAACGCAGAGGGAATTATCCCCCGGTACTCTGTAAAGAAAAACCGTGAGAAGCTCATATGGACAAGAAGTCATTTCAGTTGATTACCATGTCGTTACCATACCAGGCTGATCGTCAAAGCCTTCCATTGTGTAAGTCTTCCCAGACGCGGTTTGCCCGTATGCAAGTACGGTACCATTGTAGCCGTGCATCACACTCTCCACAACCGGATGAGCTACCTCTTGGTAGAGCTGCTCCTGGGAACACTTGGAGTCGCAAACTCGATCAAACTCGAAAACTCTGACCCCAGTGTCGATCGGACCTCGTCGCCCAGGTCCACGCACCTGCATGGTTCATCCATCATTGAGCTTTAGCAGAACAACCGGAATAGCGAAGGCAAAAACATGGGTTCTTTTGAGCAGCGGCTAAAATCCCCAAGAAACCTTGCGACTCTAGAATGCAGCTAAAATTTCATTCTCCAAAGGCATCTAGAGAACGAAAAGAAGAACTCTAGAATGCAGCTAAGATTTAAGGAATTGCGCGGCTAAAATCGCCAAGCAACTTTCCGACTCTAAGCACGAGAATGCAGCTAAGATTTCATCTCGAGAAGAAATTTCGCGATTCTAGAGCACGATTAATGCAATGCGGGATCGAAATACCTCGATCCTGTGCTGCCGCGTGAAAACCTTGACGCAGCTCCGGCGCCGGGCGACAAGCTCTCTGTGAGACATCGGGCGGCAGCGCACGACGACCTGGACGCGCTCCCGGCCGCTGGAGGGAGCGTCCGCCGTCGCCATCGCATCCTTGCGCAAACCCTAGCTCCAAGAAAACAAAACCCTAGAATCAAAATTCCGTGTCATGTGAAATCTAACGGTCGCGGATCCACGGTCACATGGATGGAGGAACACGCAGCATGGGCCTGGACACCATAACCTCTTGCGGGAACAAAATATTTGGCCGTCTCTGCGAGCTCTGGCTTTGTTGCCTCTTCGTCAAGGTAATTTTAATCACTGTCTTCCTTGTCCCAAGACAGCACCATGGTCAGAGCTTATAAAAAGCAAAGAAATCGATTGACACTATCTCTGCAAGCTCTCAGCTCTAAGGTTTTAAATCGCCCTTGTCTTCTTGTCTCAATACAGGCACCCAGTTTTTCTAAGGAGTGAGAGAGAAAGAGCTCGACCAAGTGAAGAAAATCCTCCTTTAAGCTTAATCCATGGAAGCATGGAGGATATAAAGCTAGCTCTGGAGCTCCCAGAGCTTGAGGGCAGAAGCGTCATAGAAGAGATGGGTGTGTGCTTGTCAAAGGCATCCACGAGAGCTTCTTCTTCCTCTTGGATTTGTAGCGATGTCCACTACATGAGCGGGGTTTTCAGCGAGGAGGAATCGTCTCAAGAGAGCGCCGCGCGAGCCTCCACCGATAGCTGCGACTCGTCCATCTCCAGGCTCAAGCACTTTTGCCTCTGTGGTCCACCTTTGATCTCCAACTCGGTGCTGGAAAATGCGAGCTTGATGGCGCATATGGAGCAGAAATCTCTGCGAGAGACGGCGATGATCCGGCTCAAGAAGCTGTCGCTGATGCCAGTGGGAAGAATCGATGACGAAGCTGGCGTCCCGGGGCCGCAGAATTCACCAGTCTCGACCTGGCAGCATCCGATCATCGTCGATGTGAGTGAAGTGATCGATCCATCGCCGGAGGAGCAACCGATCCAGCTGGTTGCCCAGGAAAATGTACTTGGAGTCTTTGGCGGCTTCCACTCCTCAAGTCGATTGCTAGATCTCAGCAGCAGCCAGGGATCGTCGCAAGGAGCGTTTGGGTCGCCCCTCTCGGTAGAAATCCCGCTTCTCGATCCGGCATTCTCTGGCGATTTCGATGACCACGCCTCCGATTCTAGCTCAGATCTCTTCGAGCTGGAAAGCCTGGTGGCAACGTCGACGACGACGACTCCGACTCTTACCTCGGCGCGATCTTCGATCGATCCGGACGAAGCCTCGAAGGAAGAGAGATCTACGCAAGAAATGGGAGCTTTGGATGGGCTAGCAGCAGCGGATGGGCCTAGAACATACCTCATTGTTTACTCCATCTCCGGGAAGCGCGCAAAAGTGTCGTCTTCATCCTCCTGGAAGACTGTGTAGCATAGTGACAATTACTCGATCCGCCACGTGGCGACAATGTCAAAGGATATTCCCTCGGCATCCAACGGCTAGGGTTTTTCATATTTGTGCCGGGGAAGGAACGAGGGTTTGTGCTGGATTAGGGCTTTGCGCAGCGGCAAGATCCAGCTCCTCCGGCATGGCGATGGCTGCGCGCGCGTCGCATTGTTCCATTTGACAGGTTGCTTGGATTTCTTCTTGGGAATAGTGGGATTTTTTCTCGATTTGGGAGAGGAACAGTGGAATGTAGGGTGCGATCACAAGCAAAGGAGCTAGAACTCGAGCGATGAGCACTTCCAGGTTTATTAAATGTGTCACTGTGGGAGATGGGGCCGTCGGCAAAACATGCATGCTAATTTCTTACACAAGCAACACTTTTCCTACTGTGAGATTTTTTCTTCTCTTTAGATGGGAATTCTAACCGTGAATGTCTGATTCCAGGACTACGTGCCTACAGTCTTTGATAACTTTAGTGCCAATGTTGTCGTGGATGGCAACACTGTGAATTTGGGTCTCTGGGACACCGCTGGTACGTTTAGCTGGAAAAACTCGGCTTGTTCTAACGCAAACGCATGCTTGCTTTTTGTTTCTCGTAAATCTCGCAGGCCAGGAAGACTATAACAGGCTGCGTCCATTGAGTTACCGAGGAGCCGATGTTTTCCTTCTAGCTTTCTCACTTATAAGCCGAGCTAGCTATGAAAACATTTCCAAGAAGGTTTCTTTGCGCTCGACTTAAAACTTGAAACCTCTTGCTTACGCCATGTTCTACATTGCATTGCAGTGGATTCCAGAGCTGAAACACTACGCCCCGACGGTGCCTGTCATTCTCGTTGGCACGAAGCTAGGTGAGTCCTTGATTTGATTCACCGTTTGCCAATGCTGGTTCTTTTCAACTCCAGACTTGCGAGATGATAAGCAGTTTTTTGCCGATCATCCGGGAGCGACGCCTATCACCACTGTCCAGGTACAAAAAATATGTTTTTGTTCGTTCTTTCTAATGCCCCGAGTCATATTCGTGTTTTCCAGGGCGAAGAACTGAGGAAGCAAATCGGTGCTGCTGCCTACATCGAGTGTAGCTCGAAAACCCAGCAGGTCCGTCTTGTGACAAAGGAGTGAAGCTTTTTGCTGCTGTGTTGTTTGTTCTAAACCTCTTCCAAAATTCTTTGTGCTCCAGAATGTAAAGGCAGTGTTTGATGCTGCGATCAAGGTGGTCCTCCAACCTCCAAAGCAGAAGAAAAAAAAGAAGAAGCAAAAGGCCTGTACGATACTCTAGAGCGGAGTTGCGGAGTTTTTTAGATGGATCGCCACAGAGAACATCAACCGGTTCCATCGATTTAACGTTACCAACATATCACACAGATTGGAAAGAAAGAAAATTTCTTATTGCTACTAGCATTTAGTACGTTAAAAAGGATATGCCAAGTGTAAGCTAATTTTTAAGAAGAAAACCCACCCTCAATAGTGGGGATCTTTGTTAGTTATTGTGGGAGGGAAGACAAGGAGACAGGCAGTAGGAGCTAGGGCAACGAGAAATTTCCCCATTCTCAAGTGGAACGCTATGGCGGATTCTTGCGAGGGCTCGGTGCTGGAAGAGGATATCGATGACGATTACAATCCCACAGGCGAAGGCGAAGGTGAGATCGATGAAATTTTCGCCGGTTTTCTTTCTTCCTTCCGTAGAGATCGTTGAGTTGGAGCTCGAGGCCTTCTTAGAATTGGTAGGCGAGGATTGAAAGAGTCTTTTGTAGTGGAATGGAGGCCGTTTTGTGAGGGAAAAAGAGAGAATAGTTAAAACAATGCCGAGGGCTGTTTGGAATCCGTAAGTTTTTTTGTTTACAGCCTTTGTTCTAAGTTTGCTAGACTACTCAGACCAGCGCACGAACTTGTACAGGGAATGCGCTCACACTATAATCAGGTAGCCTTGCTTTGTTCTTCTGCTTGTAAATAGCGGCACTGCTTGTGTAGAAACTGAAACTTCAACACAGGCGATTTCATTGCTTCCGAGGATGTTTCCACCAAAGCGTTTGCGTAAGAAAGGTTTTGTTGTGTATTTCCTAAGAATGCTGCTTAAACTTGGCAGAACCAGTCAGCCCGAGAGCTCGAGCTGATATTGGACGCCTTCCAAGTCCCAGTAAGATTAGTTTCTTGTCCAGTGTCATGTATTTCTCTCTTTTCTTTGCAGCCGCACCCGTAGAGCAAGGAAGCACTCAGGGCTCAATGGTGAAGTGGAAGTCTAGCGAAGGAAAAGATAGCCAGGGTGGCCTGCAATACAACGTACCGCAGCCGAGAGGTGATGGGGATGAAGCGGAGCAAAAGAAGGGCCAAAGATCGATGCTGAGTAGCTTACGAACAATGGAGCAACCTCGACTTTCTCCAAATTACACGTCCATGCAAACGGAGTTGCTGGAGAAGGTAAAGAAGGACCTCGAGGAGGAAGGCTGCAATTTGATGGAACAGAGGCGAAGGGATGTCATTGAAGAGGTCGAAAGGCAAATAGATGAGGAGAGGAAGAGGCTGCAAGAGATACAGAACTCGAAGCTTCAAGAAGATCTGGAGCTCGAGTATAAACTTCTCGAGCAGAAGGAGCTGGAGAGGAAGCGTGCTTGGGAGGAGAGGCTCAAACAGGAAGAAGAGGAGAGCGCAAAGATGGCCAAAGATCTTGCAGAGCGGAGGAAAAAGACAGAGGAGGATCTTACAAAGGTGTTGGAGCTGGAGACGAAGAGCTTCGAGCTGGAAAGCTTGCAGCGGCTGAACTCTTTCAGAGCGGCTCTGGAGGACGAAGAGCTAAAGCTAATCGAATCGGAGAAAACAAAGACTTTGGCTCTCGTCGAGGACAAAGTTCTAGCAGAGGAGGAGCTCGTCGCGAAGGAGATGAAGAAGGACGCTCTTGGAAGGATGAAGCTACTGGCCCAGGCGCTGGAAACGGCCGTTTACGAAAGGGAACTGGAGGTGGCGAGACAGAGGGCGATGGAGCGGGTGGAATGGGAAAGAAAGGAGCTCCGGATGAAGATCGAGAGGGAAGTGGACGAGGAAGTGGCCAGTTTCAAGGAAGATCTTGTGAAGGAGAGGAGGGAGCGAATGCTACAGCAGGTTTGCAGGAGGATTTGCGAAGAACACAGGCTCCATTACGAGGTAATCTCATTCCCGATCGAAGGAAGTTCTAACTCCAAGCAGGCTTTGTCGCGAGGAAACTTTGGTGTCCCGGACAAAGCGTTCATGGCTGCGAGGTTCTGAAAAGTCTCCAAAAGTTTTCCAGCTCCAATAAAGCAGCCATTAGAACGCATGATCGATCGAAAGCTGCAAGTAGACGAGCGAGCGAGTAAAACTTCCGTGATCGTGTGCCCAGTAAATTCGTGAAGAACACGAGTTTAACTGTTGGTAAAAGTTCTCGGCAGTAAACGCCCGAGGAACTAGATAATTTATAAAGGGCGGGCAGTGTGAACGGAGTTAATGGCTGGGAATGAGCTTGGTTTTCCGGGGAGGACGCTAAACCCTTATTCCTAGCAGTATTGTTTTTGCGGCCGATAAACTGGGCTAGGTGGGAGAAGGGCTTTGATTTTATTTGTGGAGCGCGACGACGGCGGAGGAGTGATTTCTTCGGCGCTGTTGCTCCAGCGCGCGAGCACGACGGCGGCAGCTGCGAATTCCTTCCCGGCGCGCAGGAAATCGCGATGGAGGAGGCGTCTTGACCTAATTCGAGGTGCGGCATTGTTAGGGTTTTTGGGATTGATGGAGAGCTCCCAGGCAGCAGGCGCTTCCGCGTTTTAGGCCTCCAGGAAGAAGAAGCTCGAATGTGGCACACGAGGGAAGTCAAAGCTAGAGCTGCGCGCCACTCAATTCTATTGTGGAGATTTAGGAGAGGTATTAGCATTGGCTTTTCCTTTGGCTCTCCTCGGACTGATTTTTTCTTCTTTTGGTTTTTTTTTTTTTTTTGACTCCTGATAATTCTTTTTTTTTTTGTTCTTTTCTCAAGCGCAGATAGAAGAATGTGTGAGCGGGAACGGTGCAGATTACATAGCGAATTTTAGGACAAATGCAATTTAGATGTTTGAGCAAGAGTCGATCATGTACTATCCGTTTCGCCATGATACCAACTTCAAAGAGGTAAGCGACGACTTTGGTCTGTGACCCCCTCGGATTGAGAAGTCTGACTTCTATTTTTTTCGGCTGTCGATGATGTAGTCTTCGCTAAACAGCTCCGCCTCGACACTGCTTGACTCTGGGACTTCCGGAAGACCATTTGCGTCTTCCTTCTCGGGGCAGTCTTCCACCACGCCCGTTTTCAACCACGGAGGTAAGCCCTCGTGTATCGTGTGACACTAAAGTGATTGGTGTTGGCGACCAACACTATCAAACAGGATCGATACAGGGGTTTAGCAATGTCCAAGGGAGCTACAACATGCAAACTCTACCCAGCTCGTTGTCGTCTAGAAACGCAGGTCTCGGTGGTTCCTCGAGTGGAGTACACCAGCCCACCGGAGGACTGCCTAGCGGACGGTTTGCTTCCAGTAATCTTCCCATCGGACTCTCACAGGTTTGTGGATATCAAAGCCTTCGCAGATGACTTGATGCCATTTTCTTTCTGCAGTTGTCTCAGAGTAGTCTTCACGGGCATAACTCTATGAGCAATCGTGCCGGACTTAACGTTGTAGGAAACCATCCTCTTAGTAGTGGTATGAATGGAGCTGGCGTCTCGGGTCCAGGGATGTCACCGAATACAGTGACTTTGGGTAATAGGGGGAGCATGACAGGGTTGGGAGGGGTCCAGATGGGAGGAGGTTCAGGTCCCAGGGTGCAGGCTTCAGTAGGAAATATGGCAGGAGCTGGAGCAGGGAGCAACCTTAACAGGAGTTTGAGCTCGGGTGGTGGTTTAGGAGTACCTAGTCTAAGTTCGTCTCGTATGAATTTGGGGCCCATACCAAGTGGTGGCGGCCTCGGTGGAGGAGGACCGGCGTCGGGAAGAGCCATGAGTCCCATGCTTCAGCAGAGCGTCAACACTACTTACAGCCCCTCAGGCGACTTGCTGGCAATGATTTCTAGAGGTAAGCTCTCTACAAGTTTTCAAGCTTGTGCTTTGCGTTTGTAAAAGGTTCTATTTCGCAGCGGTACCCCCTCAAGTTGTGTCATTGCTTGGATCCAACTTCTCAACAAATTCGGGGTCGGGTATGCAGGGGCAAATGGCATCCGCAAATGGTCAGCTCGGAAATCTGGGCTTGGGAAGTGATGGTAACCAGAATGACGGCGCCGCGTTCGATATCAACGACTTCCCCGTTTTAAGTAACCGGCAGAGTTCAGGTGGTGGTCTCCAAAATCCTCTAGGTTGGTTGGCTTTGAGGTCCTCTAAGAAAGCGCAAATTTGACTTTGTAAACTGCAGCCGCATTCCGAAAACAAGGCGTCAACTCGCTTGGCCAACAAAATCAGGAGTTTAGCATACAAAACGAAGATTTCCCCGCCTTACCTGGTTTCAAAGGTTCAGTCCGTCTTCTTCTTGTCTGATCTGTGAGCTAAAACGAGAGAACTTTTCAGGTGGCAATGGAGACTTGACGTCCGAAATGCATCACAAGGAGCGTCAACATGAGAACTCGATGGGTTTGATGCCGCCGCAGCATTTCGGGGTACGTTATTTTCCTTTATATCTTATCTTCTCTGGTGAGCCGATTACAATGCGGGAGGGTGTATTGCAGATGGGTCGATCGGGGGGTTTTCCTTTGGGTGTATCGTTTGTTGCTCGGCAACAGCAGCAGCAACAGCAGCAGCAACAGCAGCAGCCGCAGCAACAGCAACACCAGCTATCCGGCTCGTCTAGCACCGCCGAGTCAAATCTATCCCATATGCAAGACTCGTATCATTCTTCTCACGGCTTGCCAGCTTCTTATCAGGTACTTTTCTAGTTGCTTGTGCAAACTTAGGCTCTCCAACTGTCGTCCAGATGCATTCTTCCGGCCAACCGGGTGCAACCGGCTCGCAAATATCACTGGGCCTGCGCTCGGGAAGCCCGGCTGTGGTTGGAAGTGGTGGATTGGGTTCTTACGACCTGATGCACCAGTATGAGCACCACCAGCAGCCACACTTCCGGCTGGGTGCTCATCCTCAACAGCTTACAGCAGTCGGGCAGCCATCGAGAGAGCTAGGAATGCGACCATTACAGGACATGGACCGCTTTGGGCTTCTAGGCTTGCTGAGTGTAATAAGAATGACTGAACCTGACCTCACCACGCTCGCGCTGGGGACTGACTTAACAACTCTAGGACTAAACTTAAACTCGCGGGAGAACCTCTACAAGACTTTTGCTTCTCCTTGGGCCGAAGGACCAGTGAAAGGCGACCCGGAGTTTACTTTGCCTGCGTGCTACATCCAACAACAAGCTCCCAGACTCCAGGTTTGTGTCTCTCTCACTCTCTTCTCTCGCTCTCTTTCGTTTAGAGTTTTTCAGTCTTTGCTTTGTACCGTTTCCTACTGCTGTAATGTCTTACTAATGGACGCACGCTGTGTTTTTTAGCCTGGCAATTTTGGAAGGTTACCGCAAGAGGTCCTGTTTTACATCTTTTACAGGTGAGTTTTACTCGTTACTTTGGTCGTGAAAGCACTCGTACTGACGCTGTGCTTATCGCAGTATGCCGAAGGATGAGGCCCAGCTCTACGCTGCAAACGAGCTGTAAGTTCTTCGCTTTCTCTTCGGCTTTTCTAAAGTTTTTCTCGTTCTCAGATCAAACAGAGGGTGGTTTTTTCACAAGGCTCAGCATATGTGGCTCACGAGGGTGCCGAATGTGGAGCCGCTAGTGAAAACCAACAATTACGAGCGTGGGTCTTACATCTTTTTTGATCAAAATAACTGGGAAACCACACGAAAGGTAAATCCAGGATCTGGTTTTGCTCGAGTTTTCGATTGATCATCCATGTTTTTTGCTTTTGTTCTTCGCAGGAAAACTTTGTCCTTCACTACGATATGTTGGAGAAGGCACCGCAGCTCCCACCGCCGCCACCAGCTCAATCGTGATGTTGTTAAAGAAATTTGATCGATCGATCGAGAGCGCGCTCCAGAGCTCTCAGTCTCTCGCTTCTTTTTTTTTTTTTTTTCCTTCTCGCAAAAAATCTGTGTTGCTGTAAAAGCTAGAATTTTGGATACAAACAAGCCCTAACCATCGATCTATTGCCGGCGAATATCCCGCTCGATTCTCCTCCTCCTAGGTTGATCGCGGCGATGACGATGGCGCTCGACGGCTATGGCGCTCCTCCAGGTGCTTTCTCCTCTCGATCGTGATGCTTTCTTGCACATTCTAGGCCTAGGCAGAGGTGATTCTTGTTGGAATTTCGCGGGCACGCCAAATCTTGGGCTTCCTCTTCTTCAGGGTTGAGAACTTGCTGAAACATTTTCTTGGATGATCCAGAAAAATGTTTCTAGGAAGGACGGTTGCTCTTGGCTCTTCCTCCTCGTCTAGTGTGGAGAATCGCAACTAAGGTAAGTATCATTCCCTCCACTGCAAGGGAGAATGGCCGAGGATGATCCGGACAGAGATGATGAGTGGTTTAACGAGGTGTATGGAAAGGAATACACTGGGCCTCTCTCGAGAGCTCGCCAGGCACAAGAGCCCGAGAGAAAGAAGCCAGCAGCAGCACAGGTGGAAACCTCGGACGAGGAGGAAGAAGGGCCTCGCGATCCAAACGCCGTGCCCACGGATTTTACTAGCCGAGAAGCCAAAGTCTGGGAGGCCAAGGCCAAGGCCATAGAAAGGAACTGGAAACGTAGGAAGGAAGAAGAGCTCCACTGCAAGATATGTGGCGAGGCTGGCCACTTTGCTCAGGTGAGTTTCTCGACACTGCTGATGGCACACACACTCAAGCACAAGTTGGTTCTTCATCCTAGTCTCGTAAAGGAAGCCATTTTAGCTGCTTGGTCTCTCAAGCAAGAACTGGAAGGAAGTAACTTTGGAAGCTAGAAGCTTGAGCATTGCTTTCTTTCTTTTCTAGCTCTTGCATGGTTTAGTCATTTTTTGTCCTCCTATGGTTTTGACTTGGTTTTTTTGCTTTTGATTCCAGGGATGCCCGACAACTCTGGGTGGAAGCCGAAAGTCTGGAGAGATTGTGGAGAGGGTGGCACTCAAGGACAAGCGTATCAAGCCTCGTCTCATAGGAACGGGAGGGAGTGTGATCCAGGGGATTGAAAAGGATACCGGATGCCGGCTTAAGCTCGTGGACAACCAGGGAGATGGTCACGGGGTCTTCTTCGTTCGTGTTTCGGGGCCGGACAGGCTAGCAGTATCCAAGGCAGTGACTGCGGTGAAGAAGGTTACCGAGCAGTTTGATAGCGAGTGGAGCCAAAACTCGAGAGGGAGAAACGCGAAAGGCTCGAATTCTCTGGCTGGTGGACAGCTAGAGCACGTCCAGAGGCTCCAACAACACCCTTCCAATGGTGGAGCCTTGCAAGCGGAAGATTTAGAATGGGGAAATCTCCAAGTGCAAGTCCAAGTCCAAGGTATTGGTTTTGTTCTTTTTCTTTTCTCCACGTTTTAACAACAATCTCCTTCCCTCAAGGTCGATCTGCAAAGGCTCCCCGGGACGAGTATTTTCGAAGTCGCAGTCTAGAAAACGGACCATACTGTTCTGCGAGGCTGTACGAACAGGAAGTCAAGAGTCCCGAGACTCTGGATGAGCTCGAGCAGTGTTTCTTGCAAGAGGCGATGGAGCTGAGCAAGGAGCAAAGCGCTGAGGAAGACAGAGAGCTAGCAAGGCACCGAGAGGTAAAGATCGATCTTTGGTTACATTCCAGCAGAGCATTGATCTTGTCTATCTTCTGCAGTGCCTCCGTGGGATTCAAGAGCAGTATCAGCAAAAGATGATGAACTTGAGGACCAAGCAGAGCCGTCGAAGGGACGAGTTTTTGCATCACGAGATTCACATTCGTCAGCAGTACTACCAGCAGTCACCAGCGGGCTATCTTCCGGACGGAGCACAGTGTGGTGGTGGCGGAGGCTACGCTTCGTATGGCTACGACTATCCTCCTCCTCCAACGCAGCACAGGAAAGCAGTGACTCAGAGGGCGTTTGATTACGCCACGGCTGCTTCTTACGGCCGAGCGCGGGGCATTTGCAAGAGGAAAGTCACGGCCTTCGACGATTAACAGGTTCTTTCTTCTCTTTTTTTTTTCAGTTGATGAGAAACGCTACATTTTTTCAACACAACAAATTATTCCAGAAGATGCCTGGATTTAAGAATATACCTAGATTCGTGTATTATTGGTTTGCTTAAGCAAATCAGCAGGCTATAAGTGAAAATGGATATTCTTGACGCCTGAGAGCGCATTTGTGCTATGCCTTGGTGTTGTAACTGGTTTCTGGGTGTTTTTTTCACTTGTTTTTCTGTATACAGGAATATACATTATGGAAACAGATGCTACACGTTGGTGTGACGCTTGTATCTCTCTCAAACGGCCGGCAGTAGCACAGTTAGCAATAGACGAGTCAGGTTATAAGGGAAGGTTCCCTTCTGCTCGGACACTCGTGTGCTCGCTTGATGGTTTACCATGCTTTTTGTGGGAAGGTGTTGGAAGTGGACTTGTAGAGTTGGACAAAAGGTTTGCAGAAATGTTGTTTCCTCAGCACTTGACTGTGCTCTTAGCACCTAGTGGATCAGGGAAAACAAGAATGCTGATTGAACTAGCCAGCACCAGGTTCAGTTTGTTTTTCACAGGTGACCGTCCCATTGTTGGGTTTGGAGGAGGATCAAAAGATGTTCACAGAGTGGCCAACTGGGTCCGCAAAGCCGTTTTCCAGGAGGAGAAAGTAATATTGCCCCAGAGGATCCAGTGATGCGGTGTGGCGTGGGGGCCTTAATCCTTGCACGGCTCACTTGGCTTAAATTATTGAAAGAGTGTAAGCCAGGGCTTGTTCCACGAGACTGGGCGTTTTTTCAGCTGGAGTATCCGGCAGTTGATGACGTGTTTCTACATCTGGGTGAGGAGTTGCTTGCTTTGGTCTGTGATGTCCATCAAGCGCCCTCTTTGGCTAACAACTTTCACTTGGGCATACAAAAGCTGCTAAACGAGGTGGGTTGGGGGTATGGCATGGTTGTGCTAGACGAAGCCCAGGCATTATTAAAGTGCAGCCGAACTCCTCAGGAAGGGCAGTCTTTGTTGAATTCCATCGTTTTTGCGCTTATGTCGTATGGTGTGCTGCGAAGTCCCCTGTTTGTTTCAGGTACAGGAAAGAGCATGTTGACGTTTCGGCAGATTCTTGATTCTGGAAGATTTATGAAACAGTCGTATGTGAGAGAGATTTACAGTCTACCTGGGTTTGATGGCAGCAACATCCAAGCGTTTATGGAAAGGTTTATAGATGTCAGTCGTCTAGACATGCTAGCTGTTTATCTCCACCTACACAGGAAGGAGACGACTTTTATCAACCGCTATTGAGAAGTATATTATGGAGACTGCACCTGCTGCAGATTGGTTCATGGAGTTTGCACGAAGGATGATCACTGAAACAGGCTGGGAACTTGGAGTCCATCGCTCTTTGAGAGATGATGCGGTTTTGCTGTGGAATGATCCTGAGATGGCAAGCTTTATAGAAGATTTGATATTTACTTACTATCTCTCAGGTAAGACAGAAAGTTTTATAGAATTATGTGATATTTACTTTATTACTTTTTCAGGTGCCGAACATGTGATTGTACCAGGACGGAGGAGGGGCATGACTCTTGTAGACTGTGGTTTTGCAACTCTCCTTGAGAGCAGCAATGGAGCAGAACCTTTTGCACCTATATTTCCATATATCAGAGGGGTCACTGATAATGAAGTTCAAGCTCCTACAGTTAGTCAGTTACAACAGAGATTTGTTATATAATTTTGCGAGAGCCATTGGTGGTAGATGCATTGTGGTACCACATGCCACAGGGTACACTTATAGGGCGCTTTATGAATATATCTAGAGACCCATCCATACACAGAATTAATTTCGAGACATATGCATGCACAACTCTTGGAAGTGTCTTTGAGAAGAAAGTGCCGGCATAGGTGCTCGGATTGGTTGAAACACACACCATGTACAAGGAGACCTATGAGCTTTTAAAACCGAGAGGGCTGTCAGCGGTGCTAGTTCAAGAGATTGGGAATGTGGAACAGCTAAACGATTGGCTTCAGTCAGTGGAGACTGGTTTATCGTTTGCAACATATGCTCACACAAGGCCATTCTGCAAAGCAGGACCAAAGGGAATGTTTTTCTTGTGGAATGGTAAGCTGAACAAGAAGATGCCTGTGTTTATACAGTTCAAAACGGGAAGTGAGCTAGGAGCAACTCAAGCATTTGGGATGCTAGACATCATGAAGCTGGACAAGAAAGTGAATTCAGAAGGCTCTCACAAACTCAAAGAGTGGTGTTCCACTGGGTACATAAGGCTGGTTGTGACAACAGAGCAACACCCACGAGCGGGAGAGGTGGTCTTCGAAGAGGTAAGGCAGAGTGAACATTTGAAAGAAAAAGCTGTGGTATGTTTGAAAGTTGCATGCTATTTGAACTTACTACTGTGATCTGTTCTGTAGGTTCCACCTTTGTCAGCTGTTTGGGCCGGTGAAAGGCTACATGGTATTGTGAATATAGAATTACTTGACGCTATAGAAGAGTTGAAGAAAAATCTGAACAAACGGAAAACGGGGCAATAAGCTGCACTCATTCTTAAGAAGCTGAAAGCTTAGTATTTTATATAGGAACTTATGTTGTATTGAAGCTACACCGTCAGAATCTTAAACAAGTGGGTGAGCTTGTCAATGGGTGAGCTGCTAATTTGAGGGCTCTTGTCCTTGTAAACCTGGACACAATCAAGCGTTAAGCGGAGACGTTTGTAGTTAGAACGGATTCGTGCAGTGGCAGTGTTCGAATCTAATTTTTTTAAAACTCTTCAATGAATTCTGCCCTAAATCGGTGGTAGTTTTTTCTTAAGGGGAGCGCACCTGACATAAACTCGGAAAAGTCAAAGATTTTCTCAGGGAATTAACACAAGTGCGAAACTTGAAACCTTGAAACACTAAGTGCTTTTCACCACTCGATTCTCAGCAGCTCCCGCATTCACTCTCGCTAAGAGGGCCGCGAGGATAGCCCGTAAACAACGATAGTTCACCTTCAACAGCGACACGATGCTCACTTTCAGGAGATCCGAGCTGCGGCTAGATCGCACAACACGTAGAGACAAAACATGTTCGTCCATGACACAACAAAACGAAGTCCCAGTGTCGAAGGAGTTTGGAGGCCTGGCAATGGATAGCAATCCCTTTCTCCATCGCCATAACTTTGACAGCCTTTCCATTCACCTGCAGTGAACTCTTCTCTTGCAGCGAGCCTTGAGTGTGCTCGAAGACGTGAGTGCATGCTCCTCGGATATCATGCGTTGGAACACCGTATCTTCTTCTCCGCAATCGACACAGGCCAGAACAAGCGAAGTCCATCGTGCGAGCACATCTGGTCGGCGTCCAATTCGTACGTAAGCGGCGACTAAGGTAAGATCACGTCCGTTTTGAAGTAGTTTCTCGAATCTCCATGAAGAGCCGGTGTTCTCTCCAAGCATTTGAGCTTGACCATCTTTCCATCAACTTCCAGGGCCCCCTTCCTTGGGCGCCCAGGCCTTCGAAACAACAACTAAAGCCATAGCATCTGGAACAAGCCACTGTTTTTTATCTGAGAAAACAAATCCAAAGCTACCTCTGCTTGCGAGTTATCCACGTATCCCAGCATGAGCACCGGGCTGTGGCAAGGCATGCTCCTGAAAACTCTCTCAGCCTCCACCATGCTGAGACACTTGGCATAGATGTCCATGAGAGTGTTCGACAAAAACTCGTCCCTCTCGTATCCTTTCTCCGCGGCCTGGATGTGAATCGCCATCCCCTTCTCCAGAGAATCCACTATCACCATCTTCCCGTCAAAGCTTGTGGCTTCTTCTTTCAATCCACTGCAGGCCTTCAAACCAGCGACAAACTTAAAGGCATCCGCTGTAGTAGCGCTCGCGAAGCTTTCTAGCGCTAGCTCGGCTTCTTCATTGTCTACGTATCCCACCAGTAGCGTGTTCCACGAGACAAGGCATCCTATCGAAAACTCGTCGGGCACCAGCCATGCTCCCACACTTATCCAGAGCGTTTCCAACGAAAACATCCAGCGCTGAAAACCCAGTAAACAAACTTTTTAACAAGTTTGTTTACTCACAGATGGTGTCTTTCACAGTGCCAATCAGTAGCAATGCACCGGGAGCTACTTCTACCTCTACGATCTTGGAGGAGCTGCAAGAGACATGGTGTTTCAACAGTATGGCAGGAGAGCCGCAAGGACTGATGACTGAGCTTACCTCTCGGTTGCTTTCGTTTGCCTGTTCATGGCTAGCACCTTGGGAAGCAGTTGCAGCACAGAGAGAGTACGAGACTTGCTGCCTGATGACCGGTTATCATTCCGGAATGGCTTGACGAGTATAGTGGATTTCGTTTGTGATACGAAGATGCTGACTTTGAGAGGGATTGCTGCAAACTTACTCCATGTGGATCTAACGTAGGGACTTTGTGGCTGCACCCAGTGGAACAAAGCTGAGCTACTGAAAGCATGAAACAAGGATTTTACCTGGATGTCTATTCCTGTAAATCCAAGGTTCTTCGCAGAGGTAAGGCTCCGGTCTCAATTTCTTTACGAGCTGCAGCAACACCGGATGCAGAAAAGGATTTTTTATCCCAGTCGCATCGTCTTGGTGTCGGTGTCATGGGTTTCTTCTTCATCTGTGATTGGAAAGGAACAAACAAAGTCTTTCATAAAAGAGCAGCCTTGCAAATATACCTGTGTGTTAGTGTGATGATTCTCTTCGTTATGATGCTCTTCTTGGAGGAGAATTCTGCGGGGCTGATTCCAGCAAAACGATCAAGGATCAAAGACCAAAAAGGAAGAACGAAAGAAATGGAACGAGAATTCTGGCTTACTTTTCCAAGGCCGCTAGATGAGAGAGGCACGCGCTTGGCAGACGATCGCCAAATCCCACACAAGTCATGCTGCTCTTGAAACTGGAATCCAAACTTTAGCTTTAGACCGATCCACTTTTTCTTACCAGATTCATCGGTGAAGGCCCGATCGGCGAGGAGAAATCGTGAGACTCCTTTCCTTGCCGAGAGAAATCTTTAGCTGGAGTTGGAGTCGCGAGAAAACATTCGCCAGCAGCTCCTTTGCGAGGCGTATGAAGAAGGAGCACGTCTTCTTTGGCCTTTGTTTTCCCGGAGGAAGAGGGACAGATCGCCACACGGCGTGCCTGCGCTGCGATTGTTTTACAATCGAACCAATTGATCGAAGTGAGGTCTCTCACTCACCGACGATGGCGCTGCGCGATTCGGAGGTTGGAGAACTCGCGCAGCTCTCCCGCTGAGCTTCTTGACTGTGTGCCGCTGCTGCTGCTCTATCTGCGCAGCATCCACATTCTCACATTGCCCCGACCGAGAGAAGAATCAAACCTCGTTCTCGCGTTTCTCCATCGCCGAGCCCTAGAAACTAGCCGTTGGATTCCAAAGTGGAATGTCCACTAGATGAACGTTAAAGATCTTGCGCAGTTCGTTAAGAGAATTTTCGTCCGTACTCATCACGAACTAGTTTTGTGCCACCCCGTTGGGTCAGGATGTACGTGTGGCTCTCCCGCGCATAGTGCCATTTCACTCAAATTAAGAGCTCCCTCACAGGGCCTTCTTCTTCGAATCCCAGCAGCGCGTAGGGTTAGGGTTCTTTGGGGCGAGCGAGCGAGCGAGCGAGCGAGGCGACGGGAATGGCGACCGCCTGAGTGGCGATGGGCGGCCACAGCGCTACGTTCGTCGAGGTTTGTGAGTCTCCCTGCATTGCAGCTCTATAGCTCCTCCATCTGAGCCACCGGGATTTTCTAGGTTCCTTTGCTTGGACATGACAAGGAGGAAGGCGTCATACTCCAGCCGTGTACCAGGCAGTCTACGCTCAAGCGCTGCGCTGTGAAGTCGAAAGCTTCGCAGGTTCAGGGAATGGGCAACGAAAAGCGGAAGTTTGAGAGCGACGAGAAGGAGAACAGCGTTGCCGCTCGGAAGAAGCTCAAAGCGTCGAAAGGGAAAACAATGGAACTTAAGTTCGTGGGAACAGGGAAGCAAGAGGGAGAAGTGGCTAGCTCTCGGAGAAAACGAAAGAATTCGCAGAAGGCGACGAGTTCTCAGGATGATGAAGACTCGGATTACGGTGGAGGTCCTCAAAAAATGATGGAGCTTCAGTCGTTGCAAGACAAGAAAAACGCTAGTGAGGAACTTTCTACGACTGTCGCCCCCAAGCGCGCCACAAGGAAGCAGAAACGAGTCCAGTTGAAGCAGCTGGTTTCTTCGACGGATTTTCTGCGCGAAGGCGTTGTCAAGGAGGCTGATGGATGTGAAACTAGATCGGGCAGTGAAGATCGGCAAGATGCCCAAGCTAAGTCTCAGGCTACTACTTCTGAGGTGTCGACTCCAGGACACAAGGCAAAACACAAAAGTGTCAAATTTTTATTGAGCTCCACTATCGAAACAGATCATGTGTGGGGAGCTAGCAAAACACCGGAGCTCCAACAAAATGAAGAGGAATGGCGAGCGTAAGGATTTTATTTTATTTTTTTCTCTCGTGATGTCTCAAATTTATGTTTGTGGCACAGGATTAATTTGGACGCTGTCAATCCTATGGAGCTGATTGGTAGGAGCTGCAAGGTGAAAGTTTTGTGTCAATTCCTTCATTGTTCCTGATTGTATTATTTTCAGGTTTTTTGGCCACTAGACAGCAGATGGTACACAGGGGCCATCCACGAGTATAATCCCGCATCGAAGAAGCATCGAGTACGTCCAGTGTTTGCGCTTAGATGCGTTGTCTAAATGGTTCTCATGCTGCAGATCGACTACGTTGACAACCAAATGGAATGGCTGTGCCTGAGAAATGAGAAGGTGCACTTTCAAATGGGGATCAAGGAAGAAAAAGTGCTGTGCGCTGCTGGCTGCGACGACTATAAAATGCGTCTTGGCGTCGACGAACTCGCCCTCTTGGCGAATGAGATGGAAAGTTTTGAAGAGCAAATCAGCCACGGGACCGTTGTCTGGGCTAAAGTTAAAGGTACTAAGCAAATAGACTGGCTATGTGCTCACCGACGATTGTAGGTTGGCCCATGTGGCCTGCGCTTGTCCTTGACGAAGAGCATGCTGAAAAGTGCGGCTTGGAGCGTCCCCTTAAGAAGTCGACTTTTGCTGTGCAATTTTTTGGCAGCTGTGACTTTGCAAGGTACGTAGGTTATTTTTTCTCACGGTTCATCTTTTTATTTATCAGTAATAGATTACTCGCTCTTGAAGGCTAAACAATGACAAGATCGTTACATTTTCTAAAGGAGTTCAACTAAAATATCACTCAAAATGCAAGCGCCCGGCATTCGATCAGGGATTGAGAGAGGTTGAGAGGTGATGTTCTATTCATAGTTCGATAGTTTGTGGCCAAGCGTCTCACTTTTTTTTTTTTTTTTTCCTATGTAGTTATTTGAAACAGGGAAGGCTTCCAGAGAAAATGGCACAAATGCTCGAGATACAGTCCAAGAGTAGGAATGACGTAGGGAAAGCATCGAAAACGTCGGATGCAGAAGAATACATTGATGATGAACGAGAGCATCCAACGAAAACCAGGATGGAAGACCTTATGGGGTACCCTCTAGACCTTGGTAGCTTGAAAATATTAAGCTTGGGTACGTGATTTTGTCTTGGCCTTTTTCTTCTTTTGCTTCTTTTCTAATTACTAGTTTTGACAGGCGAAGTAGCTTTTGATTCTGCACACTTTCATAACAAACACTACATATGGCCAGTGGGATTTTCTTCTGTTCGAGTCCTTCCGTTTTTCAAAGGTATTTTGAATTTCCATCATATCTTTGTACCAATGTTTGAAATTAGATCTTGAAAAGCTCGTGGAACATCGAATGGAGGTCACTAGATGTAAATCAGATCCAGCAATACCTGTTTTTCATGTTACTGTTGCCGATACGATTTCTGTGAGTTATTCTTCAATTTATTTGATCGGTATTAACAGCGACTTCAGTTTGAAGGTTCTACTCCTGGTGACTGCTGGAAGAAGGTGTACAAAGAACTAGATAGATTGAAGGAGAAACCTGCGAAAACACACTTCAAACGTCTTTCAGGAGCCAGTATGTTTGGGTTTAACAATCCACGAGTGTTCAAGCTTATTAAGGTAAGCTGGTTATTCGGCGGTAGCTTCGCACCGCTAAACTCTCGCTTTCAGGAGTTACCAAATGCACGCGAGTGTTCAAATTTTATGGACTGGGACAAAGTACATTCTTCGAAGAAGTCAAAACAAACAGGACCATCGGGATACAAGCCCATCAATGTTATGTGGAAGCACCTTGAGAGGTGCAACGTATGCTATCTGGATGAGGCAGGTTTGCAGATTTAATTTCACGCGGTGCTATCTTCCTTGCTACAGGAATACGAGGGCAATCTTCTGTTGCAGTGCGCGAAATGCAGATTGATGGTATGTGATGAGAACTGTCAGAAACACTCACGCCAGGATCATTTACAGATACACATGTCATGTTATGGAGAACAAGATTTACCAAGTGATGGTTTCTGGCTTTGTCAACTTTGTAAGCGAAATACAACTCAGCTGCCGCTTTGTTGCCTATGCCCAGTTGCTGGTAAGCAGCACCTGTTTTAGATATGGTCAGCAGCACTCTTTTCATGTTATTCTCTCTGCAGGGGGCGCGATGAAGAAGACTACAGACGGCAGATGGGCTCATTTGACGTGCGCGATGTGGATACCAGGTAAGAGAGCACTGTCCCGGCATTACAATCGTTTACAATTTCCAAAATGTCAGAAACATGCCTTGTGGATGTCAAGAAAATGGAACCAATCGATGGCGTTAGCACTATCCACAAAGTAAGTTCAATTTGTATACTCAGCGTAGGTAATGATACCGTATGGTTTCAGGAAAGGTGGAAACTGACGTGCAGCGTTTGTCGAGTGTCTCACGGGGCATGCATTCAGGTAATTGCCTTCTCAGTTGTCGGCCTGTTGTTAATCTTGACCAGATTGCAGTGTAGCCATCACCAGTGCATGACATCTTACCATCCTCTTTGTGCCAGAGCGGCTGGATTTTCCATGGAGGTTTTGTTGGTCTGAATTGGCGTATATAATCTCTAACACATTTTTATCCTTTTCAGATTCAGGACGACGATGGAGACGGGCTTGAAAAACCGCTGAAGTTGCTGTCTTTTTGCTCCAAACATAACAATCGCGCATCCTCGCATGTTGATGTTCATCTTTCTAGCCAGGAGAGTGAGGTGGCAGAGAATTCCTCTGGATGTTCAAGATGCGGTACGTGCTTTTTTTTCTTTTCTTTGCTTGCAACTAGAAACTAATACTTTTTGCAGAACCATACAATCCCGTTTCGCGGCGCAGGAGGCAAGAACCTGAAGGCAAAGCTCTGTCTACTTCAAAGCGATCATTTGTTGAGAAGACGCCTTATCTCGTCGCTAACTTCGAAAGGAAGGCAAAGCTCGTTAAAATTGGCAAGGCTTACAAATCGGTGTTTGGAACCGTTGGACAAGGATCCTTTTTGTCGGACAGAAGCACGGAAGAGCCGGTGCTTTCGATGTCGGCGAGGCTGGAGAGTATGAGGTCTACAATGCACGATCGGCTAACTTTCGGTAAGAATCAGCTTGTCCACAGCAAATATTCGTATGTTTCCCTCGTGATGCAGGAAAGTCAGGCATTCATGGCTGGGGTGTCTTTGCCAAGCAGATCCATAAAGCAGGCGATATGGTAATCACGATTCTTGTGCTTTTCTAGAGTTCAGTGAGTGCGCATTTCAAACAGATGGCCGAATATGCGGGAGAAATTGTGAGATCCAACATCGCAGACATCAGAGAACAACGTCATTACGATTCGCTAGTGGTGCGTCGTCATTTCGGCGTCGCTGTTTTTCCTTTTCTTTTTGCTCTTCTCGAGTCTCAAGTGGTGGATTTTCCAGGGTGCGGGAACATACATGTTTCGCATTGATGACGAGCGAGTGGTGGACGCAACGCATGTCGGCAGCATGGCGCACTTGATCAATCACTCGTGCGAAGTAAGGCCCGATTTTGTAATGCTTTCATCGCATCGTGACTGTTTGCTTTGTCGTCAGCCAAACTGCTACTCCCGAATCATAACGGTGGACGCAAAGGACTCGATCATCATTTTTGCGAAGCGCGACATCCACCCATGGGAGGAGCTAACTTATGACTACAGGTTCTTTGATATTCACCCTCTTGGGAAATCTCTCAAAGTTTGGATCGGATTTCCTTTAGATTTGCTTCGAAGGGGGCGGAATTGGTGTGCAACTGTGGAGCTCTAAAGTGTAGAGGCAGTGTGAGACACAGCGACGACAGTAACAATGAGGGAAGGATCCTTGCTCTTCGCTCCTCGCTACGCAGCTGGACGCCACTATAAAGCTACGTTTAAGTTCTAATCAAAGTATTACTGCTTAACCCTAATCATAAACCCTTTTTTAGACCCTAAAATTTGGGCACAAACCTCACAAGGATATTCTGATCAATATGCGCGTACATTGTACAAGAAAATCGCGAGCTTAATTGAAAGACAATTGATCGTGGAGAGCTCCTCCTTTGCCACGCCAGGAGCTTCCATGGATTCCAGCCATGGACTACACCATATCTTTTGTTTTTCGAGTCTTTGTTTCCCACACTTGAGAGAGACAGTGGGAGGTGTGATATAGTTTTACCAGCCTCCGTCTTTGCTGCCTTGCAGCACCTTGTGGAGTCTAAAAACTTCGCCCTGATCACCGTTGGTGGCTCGCACCTCGCGCTGCGAGCACGTCAGTTGCCGCAACAGCTTCTCCAGCGTCGACTGTGGCGATGGACCCGACGAGTTTGGATTCATGGCTAGGATGACGGCGTTCACCGCGTCGGCCACTGCCTCTCTCTGCCGGACCTTGAGCAAGTAGCACACGGGCGACTCCGCCGGCTTTTCGTAGGCGAGCAAAGCCAAGCAATCCTGCATCGAGTGTTATGCGGCTCCCTGTGCGTAAAACTGGAAATCAAACTTACCTGGAGCAGCGACTGGAACAAAAGATTCCCAAAGAAGTTTACGAGTTCTGCACGGGCATAAGTGACTGCTGCCTCCAAAGATCCAGCCTGCAAGTGATGGTCGTTAGCTCGAGAGAGACGATGGCAACACATCCAAAAGAGGAAGGACGAGTAACCTTTACGAGCTCAATGAACTTCTGGCAGTGCAAAAGGAATGAAATGGCTGAGCGCCCATCCTGCAAGAGCGTTGAACTGGATCAAAACACGGTGTAAAGACGCTAAAGCTACACACCTCTAGTATCTCAGGATACCACTCCCGCAGTTTCGAGAAAACGCCGTCCACATCACCTTCCCTGGCGAGCTATGACAGATAGAGGAAGGTGTTCATTCCGAAAGCAAGAAATGACAGGAAAATTACCCGACGAAGGGCATTTCTCTCGTGGAGAGCGTAGTTCTCTTGAACAGGCTTTACACCGTTGTCCTTCAAGCCCACCACGGATGGGAATGTCCCACCGCAAGCATCATCAAAGGCTTCCAAAGTTTCTTGGTATCCGTAATGTAGCAAGTATGCACGCACAATGCTGGAATGTTTACGACAAAACAATCAGATCAAGAAATCAGAATTGTCGTCTTATCACACACCTGTGGCTCACACTTAAAGGCAGAGGAACGTTTTCCACTTCTGCCTGACGCTTCTCGCGTTCCTCTTGAATCAAAGCCTGGCGGAACCTTAAGAAGATTTAGACGTAGACAATGCATGCCTCAACCCACCTCCACGTCGAAAACAAATGGATTTTGGCCGAAGTTTACAGACACCCTGCAAGGTCCAAATACATCTCAGAAAAGTAGATCGATGATAAAGCTCCATACTTCTCGTTGGGACTATGAAGTCCAATGGTAGGATAGAGTGGAACCTTCACATCCTTGGATTTTTTCCCTACTAGTTTGCTGTTCTTCCTGCAGCATGACAAGCATCGTGAAGGAGGGATTAGTAAAGCAAAACTTCCGAGGATTCAATAACTTACGTAAAGAAAAGCTCTTGAGCAAGGTAGTTTATACCGGCTCCAACAGTGTCATTCGTTGTGAAGGTCACGTTTAAGTTCTCGTTGCTCTTTGGGCCGTAGTAGAGCTTCCCATCATCTCCGTGGTAGCCATAGCTATTTGGCTCCCATCTTGAAACGTATAATCGAAAAGAGAAGATGAGAGAAGGCTTCTTTCTTTCTCTGTGAACTCACCCGGGCTGACGGCTCGTCTTGAAGTTTTGATCGCTGAATCCGATCGAGATCACTCCTTTTTGTCCTCGATCACACACGGTCATCTCGAAGTAGTAGCAAAGCCTTCTGGATGGCGCCGGCCTGTTTCCCTGGACAGCCCCCACATCGTTGCCATGCTTGCCTTCTCCATTGTACTTCGCCGTGAGCTTGTCCATTGAAATCCCAAGAAAATGGCCACAATTGTTGGTGCTGAGAAAGCTGGGAGCCTCTTCTTCTTCGTCGCCATCGTCATCCTCCGGCTTTCTCATCCCCAGCGCCAGCAACGTCGGCTCCAAATCCGGCGGACTGGTAGAAACCATGGGCATGGCGCTCCAATCGATCGTTTCTGGATCGATCGAGATCCAGGAGAACACTCCTACTCTACAGACCTGCCGCGATCACGATCATGCCCTGGGAGCTCAGTGGCCATTGCCCTAGACCTAGAAATATGCTGACGTCACCATGCCTTGTTTTGTTTTGGCGGCAATTATACTCTAACAACAAAGAACCGATGACGTGGCAGGTTTAAAAGTCTTTTGGGCGGGAAAGCGAGATGATTCTCATTTAGGTCAGGGAATCGATGCGTAGGGCTGTGGAGATCGCGCGTGGCGCTGCTGCTGGCCGTGTAACGGCGACGCTCTCTGGCGCTGGTGCTGGAAATGGCGCTGGCAATGGCGCTGGTCGTGGCGCAGCGAGGAATCAGTGGAGGTCGCTGTTCATCGTGCTTAATCTTCGCCAACGAGTGTCTCGAGGGTTCGTGATGTGGAGGAATGATGCCGCGGGTCCTCCTCCCCCTCGTGTGCTGCCGCTGTCAAGGGATTCTTTCCGGGCTTCCATTTGTAGGTTCCTGTACTGGAAAGGCTTTCGCACTAGCTGTGGGGCGCCAATGGGGACGAGCGATCGGGGCAACTTGTCAGGAAAGCTGAGGTGTTGCTTTGTGGGCAGTGGCGATCCCAGTGATCTCCACGGGCAATCACGAACAATGGCGGTCTCTTCGTCCTGGAACCAGAAAAAGCGAGCTTCTTTAAAGCTCGATTGTCAATGCGCTCCATCCAGAGCGCGCGAGATTGGTAAACGCTTTTCTTAGTTGACAAAGCACTCGACTTGGATTCCATGCAGGACGCACGCAGTGGAGAGGGATTGAGACCGATGCTCGACAGCGTGGGTCTTCTCTCCAGACCGAAGAGACGGATATGTATATTCCTGTCAAGGCTTTCTTCGTATCTCGGAGGTAAAAGGAAAAGCCGAGCGATTGTGAGTGCTAACTACATCTGCTGGGTTATAGAATGCAGTGTGGACTTGAAGGGCCTGGCATGCGAGCAATTTGACGACGTGATTTCTACCCGTAAAGAGCTCGTGCTAAGGTGCAGGGATCGACCAGTAGACTCGCCCGCGCATACGAAGAAGCCTGTACATAGTACTAAATGTTTGCGTTTGCTTTCTCTTTCATTCTATTGCCGCTGCTTATGCTCGTGTGTTTTTCTTGTTGTTTTCAGGCTATTCCACAGCTGAAGTGTTGGACATGCGAACGTTATATGGTTGTGTATCAGTATGGCTCGGTAGTGCTTTTCAACTTTGGGGATGAGGAGGAGACTGAGTTCTTAAACGTCGTCCGCAAGTACTGCAAGGAGGAGTTTGGCAAGCCGAAGAAGGAGGGTACATTCCGAATCAGTTCATACTAAGATGATACTAAGGTAATGAAATCTAGTTGTGTTACAAACTGAAATTCTTCTCCTGCAGATTACGGCGTGCTGATCAGGCCAACACTGTCGGAGTGGAGTCACGGATCACACGACATAATTATGCTGAGGAAGTTTGACATCGATAACATTCGCATCATTGCCAGTGTCTTGGCACAGAGTATTGCCCTGGACTACTTTGCAAAGCTGGTCAGTACAATTTTTTTGCATCTTTTTTTTTCCACCTCTGACACTGCTGGGCCTTTGTGCAGGTTGATGAGATGATAAATGTCTTTAGTGAGCTCAACCGAGGTATGGAGCGCACCGGTACTTTTACGATGACCCGCAAAAAGCTATTCCAGCTCGTTGCTTCAGCGAACTTCACACTTGCCGACGTCATTGTCCGTATGGGACTTTTAGAAAGGTAACTCGCAGCTCATTTACTAGTACGATGGCCAGACTCCTGTGTCGGTGATGCTCTGTAACAGGTCGGACGCGGCGTGGAAGAACATAAATTACGCTCGGGTTTTTGAGTTTATGAGGGAGGAGTTTGAGCTCAACGAGCGTTTCAAGAGCTTACATTTCAAGCTCAATATTATCCAGGTAGAACGAGAGCTTTGCTCTTAAACCTTCTACTCATTCTTTCTCTCCCTTTGGCAGCACAACGTTCGGCTGTTTCTAGAGGTTCTCCAGAATCGCAAATCTGACATCTTAGAATGGATAATCATTCTGCTGCTTGCTGGAGAAATCGGTGTCGGCGTGTATGACATATTGCACGAGACAGGCGTCATATGAGAGTAAGTTAAAAAAAAAAAAAAACAGACTCTCTCTCTCTCTCTTCTTGCCATCCTCTTTATCGTTTCTAGCTAAGCAAATCTCCTTGCTGGCGCCGGCTGCGATTGCTGTTTTGGCCGCACTAACTTAGCAATCGATTATCTTTCTCTTCGGCGCAGAGACAGCAGGAGCAACTCCATCCAGCACAGAGATCTCTCGAGCTTAATCTAAATCAAGCCAGGACAGCAAACAATCGAGCGCGCTCTGAGGACAAGATCTCTGCTGGACAAGCTTGCGTACGCCAATTTTCGCCACTCGAGAGAGCTCGCGCTAAAGTACAAGACAAAAGATTTCCTCCTCCTTTGCACACATTACAAAACATCACATCATCCATCGCCCCTGGCTTTCCATAGTTTCTAAATAACTGAACTCTATCAATCTTATAAATTGGTGTGATACACACATACAAAACATACCATATGAATATTATATGTATATATATATATATATAAAAATATCAATCCACCTTTGATGATGTATACTATATTCACAAAAAACAGTGACTTTGTGTCCTCCTCTGCTCGATGATCTTTGGCAAATTTACATTCGTTCTTCCCTGTCCGTCCTCACGCTGCTTGGCTCGTTTTCCTCAAGTAGCTCTCAAACGCGTCCAGCGTGTGGACATCGGTTCTATAGTGCTTCTGCGTGAATTCTAGCAGCTGCCCCCAATTAAACTCCACGCACGGCCTCTCGCGATCTTGCTCTTCGTCTACTTTGCTCTTGACCACCAGCTCCGGAATCGGCCGGATCACCGTGTCCAGCCCCGGGTTGATGAAGAAAACCAGCGAGTGCCTGGCTCGGGTGGCATGGATCACTGCGCGGTGCTTGGCACTCTTGTAGCGATGGTTGCACAGTGCCTGTGACGAAGAGAACGCTGCGTGAGAGATGTTTTATAAAAAGAAAAGGAAAAAAGAAGAGCACTACCATCTACAACCAGCTATAGCGCTGCGAGGAGGGAGAGGAGAGGGACGAGCAGGAACAAAAGAATTCTCGCTCTGTTTACCTGGAATGTGTCACCGATGCTGATGACAAACGCATCGGCACGGGGCTCGACTGTGACCCAAGTCTCGTCCCTGTTGTACACTTGCAGTCCTCCAACTTCATCCTGGTGGAGAATTGTTAATGCGCACGGGTCGGTGTGAGGCCCCGTCCCCAGCAGCCGCGGGAAGTGCTCCGACGGCGGGTACATGTTCATCCGGAAGATGGAGAAGCCATCGTCGAAGTAGCTGTTCAAAGCATCGGGAGCCAGCTCCAAGCTCTGCGCAATCAGCTCAATCAGCTCTCGTCCCAGCTTCTCCATTGCCTTGCAGTAAGTCTCGTAGCGAGCACTGGGAAAAACATAAAAAAGATCGTTTTTCCGTTATAGTTGTTAAGAAGAAGCGCAAGAGCTAACGAAAAGAAAATGGAGGTGGGGAGCTGCTGCTTACCAATGCTGCTCATGCTGTTCCGCGGTGTAAACTTTGATCATGTAGTCCTTGATGTTTGAGTTCGGCGTGTACTGAAGCGAGAATGTTTCCTTCCAGGGGCACTTGGATTTGAACCTCCCAGCAAACTTGCCGGCGAATCCAAAGCTGTTCCCGGCGGAGCGAGCCGCTCGTAACTTGGTGTCGCTGGGGAATTCGAAGAACTGGCGAGCACTCGCATGCACCTGGTTTACAAGCTCGTGATCCACACCGTGATTGACGACCTGGAAGAATCCACTCTGCCTGCACGCTCTGCCAATCTCATCAACCTTGGCTTTGGATCCACCAGCCAGATCAATGGTCGGGACATCCTGCTGGCTCGCAAACTTGCCATGCTCCGGGAGCGAGCAGTCGCCACGAGGCCACACATAGGACTCGAGTTCGCAACTAGTATTCATCGGCGGCGTCGCGCGGCAAAAGTTCTTCTTGACGATGGTGGTGATGTCTGATGACGGTACTGCTTCTCGGGCGGGTTTCAAAGCAGGAGCTGCATGAAGAACTGGATTACCGGACTGGAAACGGAAAAGAAAAAGAGCAGCAGCAGCATTACTTGACACCCAGGAGCAGCATCTCGAAGAAGCGTGTCTTGTTCCCACCTTCTTCCCCCTCCCTTGTCTCTGCCGACAATAGAGACAAAGAGCTCAGCAGAGATAGAGACAAGCTGGAGCAGAGAGGCGAGTGGTACCGTCTTTTATCGCAGTCTCGAGCGAGGAACAGACATCAGGTGGGACGCGAGTAGAATCGCAGCCAATCTACGTCTGTGCCTTTTCTTCTCTCCTCCCTCTTCTTCCCGGTGACAAACTAGTTCCTCGCGCTGCTTCCTTCCCCTGCCCCTGTGTGTTCTAGTCCCCGTTGCAACCAAATCTCCCCTTCTCGGGAAAAAGTTGACGCTTTTTCCTGGGAATAGTGCTCGCCGTAGTCTCTGTTGCGTGACTGAAGTGAGCCAGCAGTGATGCCGGCACTGCCTGATCACAAAAAGCTCCACACCTGATTGATGACATACGGTCGAGAGCGGAAAATCCCACGAGCATCTTGCGATGAACGCTGGCACGAAAAGTTGTGGCACAATCATCCACTGTTTCGCTGAGGATGACAGGGGAATCAGCACTCTCATCACTCGCCACCACTTTGACGAAAGCAGTTTGTGCTGTGCGTGTGCCACAGTCGTTTTCTTTTTTCCTCTTCTCCTCTTTCTCCTCCTCCTCCTCCTCCTCCTCCTCCCTTCCCTTCTCATCTTTAGCGCAGCCAACCACATTCTCCGATAAATCTTTCTTCCTCTGTGTAAAATCTTGCCTTTGCTTTCACCTTGCAAGAGGACATAATCTTGTCAGCGCTTGGAGGCCAGAAGAAAGACAATAGAAGACAAACAGTCCACGGGCACGTACCGATTATCACGTGAAGAGATTCAGATACATTTTCCGCATCTTTTGGCCTTGGCTCTTCCTCCAAACGGTATCGCAAATCATTGCTCGCCAAGCCAAAGAAATTCCCCTTCCCTCGCATCCCACAAAGTCGCGACGCATCCATCCATCCTGCCTGCATTGTCTCGCCACTGCGCCACTGCGCCACTGCCCCATCGATGATCGGTCGGTCTAAGGAGAAACATTCCCTACCTCCATCGAGCGCCTTCTCCACTCGCCGCGCTAAAACCCTAAAATGATTTTTTAAACTACACCTAGCCACCAGGATTCGAACTTCCGACCGCTGCCAACTTTGCCGAGATTCGAACCCCAGACGTCATTTTAAGAAATGACGTCTAGGCCGCATATTTGCATTTAAGAAACATTTTCTAAAGCAAGAAAGAACTTCAGTAGTGAGCATGCCAATGTATGAAACTGCCCTTTCTGCCTCAACAATTGCCTCAAGTGCCTCTTCTCTTCGAGCCTGTTCCTTGGCTGCCTTCTCGGCTTTCACTGCCTCCTTGTGAGCAACTTCCAAGCAACCATGGCAATGGTCTTTCGAATCCTCGCAAGCCTGATGATACCAGCATTCACAGAATTCACACTGCACCCACAGCGTGTCCTCGAGAGTATTACAAACACAACATCTAGGATTTGCCTGCATCAAAAAATAAATTAAAAAAACATGAGAATATATAAAACTGAAAGCGAAAGCTGATTACCTCTCCACCGTACCGACCATCCCTCAGCCTCCCCAGCTTCTCGTCGATACAGGCCAAGATCTTGTCAAAGCACCCGAAATTAAGATAGGCCTCATGGTAGATTAGTTCACCACCTCCCGCCACATCACACTTCATTGTCTCAAACCAAGGACTCATGCAGTACACCACCCACGCAAGGACGTGAGACCTCGACTTGTCATCTGACATGAACAATTCCCGTGCTCTCGACCTGGCATGCTCGTGATCCTCAATCGCCCAAGCCCCTGTTGCAAACTGGATGACTACGAAGTGCGAATCTGCAACATAGTAGCAACCGAGTCCTTTCTCAGTCCCATGAATAGGAATGAAAAGCGTCGAAACGGAGATCTCTCTTTGGTCATCGCCATTGTAAAGCTCCCACGAAAATTGCAGACTGCTGTCGGAGTTATAGTCACGGAGCCTTCTTGGTCATACTTTATGACGGGTTGCTTGTACCGCGTCACAAGAATGCATGCCTGCTGTGTTTTCAGACCAATTCGTGAGAAAATACCGCGATGGTCGCTTTGGATAACTGGTGTCCATAACCGAATCTGCTCATCGGTCTGGTCCAAGTTATCCACCGGACTTGCCACCAGCATGAACTGGTTTGCTGCGTAGGAACGAAGCTGCTCTGAGAGACATCTCGCAATCCCGTCATCACCCCTGTAGAACAGCCCGGCAGCTTGCTCTGCAAAAATTGTCATCATCTTCGTCATCCTCAACAATTCCTTTCGAAAGGAGCTTGGAGAAACGAGGCCAATCTTCCGAAGGCAGATTCTGGATGTACTCTTTAAGAGCCTTACGGTACTTTCGATCGCTCCTGGTGGCAACCAACCCCGGAACCCAGCCAGTCTTCCACCAAATACTTTCTTTCGTAGTATTAGCGTCGGCCTTCACGAACGCCAAGTAGTTTGTTATTTCAACCTCCTGAATCAAACAGATAGAGTTTAGTACAGGCAACTTCACATGTGAAGATCAAGCTTACGTTGAATCTGCCATTGACGAAAAGTGCGCGATCTTCCTCCTTCAGAAACTCTTGCCACTTCCCGCACAAGACTACAGCACCAAAACTAGCAATACTCCAGAGTAAAACCGCATGCTCAGCAGCTCAGACCATCGTCCAGCACCAGATAAAGCCTTCTGTTGTTATCACCCCGAACTATCTTCCACATGATCTTGATCACCTGATGGACATCTTTGTCATCCCTGAGGTTCTGAATGTAGTATTGAGCGGCATTGCTGTCGTGATAGCCCAAGGCAAGCGACCGGATGAGTGTCAAAGAGGGTTTAGGGTTTAGCGTCCCAGTGATGTGCATCAGGTTACTTATCACTTTTATCCGGGACTCGACTGTCAAGTGCTCCAAGTTTAACTTCGTGCTGGGATCAGCATCGTCTGGAAAGACTTACAGTGTCCATGCTGCGTCTCTATTCCTCTTTCTAAAGTTTTTCTCCTCAGCACACGGAAGGCTCGAAAACTCGTCCCTGTTGATGTGCATCAGCCTTCCGTGTGCTAAGGAAAAAAACTTTAGAAAGAGGAATAGAGACGCAGCACGGACACTGTAATTTCCAGACGATGCCGATCCGAGCATGAAGTTAAACTTGGAGCACCTCACAGTCAAGTCCCGGATAAAAGTGATAAGTGAGCTGATGCACTGCCGGCCCATCACTCTGTGTCTGTGCTCTCCATGAACATGATCATGCTTTCCTTACTAGGGTCAGAGAACACCTTCAATGTAAGAACCTTATGTTTTCCATAAACACTATAAGAGCTTATCAACTTGGCAGCCATCGATACCGCATCTCTGCTAAAGTTGAGCTCAATGGACTTCATGATGGAGCTGAGTGGCAAGCATAGTTAGCATCAAGATACTATCAAACTCTACCACCACCTACCTGGCGGTGCTCTGCAGACATGCAATGTGAATGAGGGTGGCAAAGGAGTGCTGGACACTTTGTTACTTCAACCCACATGACCGAGGCCGCTCTGTAAATCGAATCCACATCTCTGATCTGCGAGCTGGTACCTCGCACACGGTGCCGCAGATGGCCTCCGGAACCACCGTCTTCCTTGCAGGATGCACATGCACATCGTTGCCGGCATTTCCCAAGTGATCGCCCTAGATTAAACAATGTTTAAGCTTGTTTAACAGTGAACCTCAATGCTGGACACACCTCCCTGTAACATTAGATAGATTAACATTATGGAACTGGGTGTAACTTGAACACATGGAAAAACTCAAATGAGTATATGAAGGGAATGTAAGCTTATGTTCTGGAGCTAGGGAGAGTTGTGTAGCAGACAGCCAATTACACATTTTAGCACAAACCTTTTACAACTTCTTTGCCTTACACATGTGAATTGCAATGGCAGGAGAAGGAGAACAGAGCTAGCATCTTTAGCAAAGTGGTAATATTTCATGGCTAGTATAGATTTTGATGTGCTAAAGGACCACATCAAGTAATAATATTAATGTTTTTTTGAGAATGGCAGCAGTCTGAGAGTAAATCCCTCTCATGGTGACGTCTGAGGATAACCATCAGAGCCACCTCTTTTATCTGCTTTGCACAATCTAAATACACTGATCCACTGCCAATATCAAATCAAGCTTATGGCAGTTGTTGACCCAGAACAGAAAGAAATGGCTTATACAAAAAGACCAGGATAATGAACTTTCTCTCATTGGTCTCCTCAAAGAACACATCACAAATGGATGATGATCATGTTCATGGCGCCTGAGGAATCAGAGCAAAGCTGAGAACCGCCATCTCCAGATTTTGCCTAGATCCAGAGTGGCATCCATACCATCATCCCTGACTTGTGAAATTTCCTATGTGCCTCTAGTATATGTTTCAGTGAGTCTACAAATTACAATTCTAGACCTTAAAGATGTCCATTGTTTATACAGCTCCAAAGAATTGTCCCCTTGCTTGTTCATGGCTTGAGTTTGAACCATCAAATGCTCCAAGAAACCATGTCTCTCTCAGGCATTCTCTCAAAAATGGTTCTTCTCGGCTCAAGCTTTCCAGCAAAGCTTGGATCATTGCAATTCTCTTCCGCAATTCATGAGGTCTGCGGTCAGCCCTTAATAGAGCTAAGATCTGCCTCGGGATAACATGAAGTTCCACCATGCCAAAACCGAAGACTCGCTCATGTCCAGCAAGCAACCGTCCAGAATCATCAGCTGGAAGAGCTCACGTGCTTCAAACTCAGCTCTTGTGATCCTCCAGCACTGAACCATGTCACCCAAAGTTGATATTTTTGGGAGCTCCAAACTTTACACAGAAGTTAC